TTATTGTACAAACCTATATTACCCAGTTCAGCTCAATTGGACACAGATGATTGCACCTGTATGAGACTGAGCTGGCGGCCAGCTGGGGCTATACAATTTTATCCACTGTGGTAAGAGATCAGATTAGTTTTTATGAAAGCTCTGAATGCTGGAGGAACAGAGTATTGTCCCTGTGGGAGAAATGCAGCCTGAAGTTATCGCTGTCATACAAAACCAAAAGTTGGATTTATTTTCTACAAACATAATGTCCGTCTTCTATGAGCCTATCTTGTATACATGCTGTTTAAAATGAAGAAAAATCAACCACAAAGCAGTCTCTTTTTTTTCCTTTCCCTTTTTTAAAGGAGTGATTTGGAAATTTACTTGTTAATGGAATCTTGTTTGGTTTATTTTAATAAATCACTTAAGGCATAAAATTCAAACAACACCCCCCCCCCGATCTTTTCCATTCACACAGCACAGGTGGATTTACCTCAGAAAGATCCTTGGTCCACTTAGCTGAGAATTGTGGCCACATCTGTGGCTTTTAGGCAGGATTCAGTTCTAGTTCTACCTGAAGATGCCAGGGGTGGAACCTGGGACCATAGGCTGAGCTGTGGCCTCTCCCCAGAGTTAACAAAAGAAAGGGCAAAAAATATGGCAGAAGAAACTCAAACACCTTGCCTTCACTTAGTCTCTGTGGCTTTGTTCTAACAGCATCTGCAGGGAACATGGCTACATATTCAGTAATATTTTCATTAGAAACTCAAATTAGTACAAAGTAATTAGGCTATTTAATTTTAAGTCTTGTACTTGTTACATTATGGCCTAATGGTGAAGTAATTTATTACATTTGTAAGCCATTTTTCCTTCATGACCTTAAAAGTGGCATTTGGGGCTACAGTCTGAAAACGTCCTAGTGTATACCTTCCTGGTGTGTTCTAGTGAGAAGATGGTGGCCTCCTGATCGTGTTGGACTCCAATCCACTACACCAGACATTCTCAACAGGGGCCACATGATTGCCTGGGGAGGCCTGGCACATTTGAAGAGTGGCATAGACCAGAAACAATTCTTGACACACTACTTTATAAGATTTGTTATGCAACTTCTACAATCCTGATTCGGCTTATATTTCTTTGGCAAAAAAAAAAAGGTTCAGAATGGTTGCGCTACACAGTGTAACTTTGATCAGTTACCTGGGAATAAATCACTCAGAACTCAAGAGGATTCATTTTTTATAGACAAACATAGGACTACATTGTTTGGTGCACAGGAACCCTGAATGGCTTCCAGTGAGTTCCAGTGAGTTTGGCTTCCAGTGAGTTTCCTATCTGAGCAGGGAACGGAACCTGTATTTCATGGATCCATGACGAATGCAAAGGGGTTCAAAATAGATGTTATATGGAATGAGTACTCCCCGTGATTAACTCTGTGATAGTCAGGCCCTGCGACAGCGAGGGCTCCTCAGTGATCTATGCTTCAGGAATCAAACTCTCAAAGTAAGCCAGTGGCCAATCACAAACAAAGCACATTCAGTGCAAAACTCGTGCTATGACAAATGTATCTCTTTACCACTTGAAATATTTAAGGAACGTTCTAACAGGTCCATATCTCCAGTGAACTTCCATGACTGAGCAGGGATTTGAACCCAGGTCTTTCACTCTATCCACTACAACACATTGGGTATCCCAGTAATATGTACTTATTACTAAATAATAAATTACTCAGGAATGCCCCCTAAATGAGTTGTAAATATACCTTATATTTTTTTTATTTCTTTCAATACGGTGGAAGGAAAATTAAAAACTGAACATTTTGGAATCTGGGAGCAGTTGTCTCAAAAACAGAATTGTTTTGCTAAAGCAAATAAATTCAGAGAACGCAGTGCTGGGAGCACTTTTGGAGTTTCTAGCAAACATCAGCTAATCAAAAACATTCTGTCATTCCAATGACAGTTATGGATTGAAAATGGCATATTAACACAGTCTGTCCAAGTGGACCATGTACTGTATCTGCCTATGTAGCAAGCAAGCAGAAAAGAGCATTTCAGTTGAAACTATGCAAGAAGAGGGTGGGTATTCCTTGATACTGTGTGTTCATTTTCTGAAAGTATTTGTCACTGATTACTAAGATTACCAGTTACAAGCTCTGTTAACAGTTTGGGTATGTGATCAATGCACAAAGGCTCTGAGTAAATAAAGACGTGGGTGTATTGTGTACCTTGGCCCCATCCCCTCAGCCTTCAGCCATCCTGCATTCAGGGTCTTAAGGGATATTTTGTATGCATTTATTTGCACATGAATAAATTGGGGAGTCTGTGATGCATGTAATTGGGGAGTCTGACCGCCTGGTGATTTCTTGTGATATATGCAAAGGAAGGTAAACAGAGCACCCTTCAGAACCCTCAGCCTAGTGCTGGGAAATTGGGGGCTGAGAGGCCAAATGGCACATGGGGAGCTGCAGCCTCACCCCCCCTTGCTCTTCTCAGCGCTCTCACACATTCAGAAAAATGCCTGAACACAGATCAGTGTGCACCAGGATAACATAACAAAGTGTTGCTCTGGGAAGATCTTCCTTGCTTTTCAGTAAATCAGAGACATGTAGAGTTGGAAGAGATATAGGCGTCATCTAGTGCAGTCCCCTGCCCATGCAAGAAGTCTGCCACTAAAGCATAACATGGTAGGTGCCCCCATGTTGTTTAAATACCTCTGAGAAAGGTTCACACTGACCAGTGGGAAAGTCTATTGTCTTTGGTTCCAGCAAGGGCCTTTGCTTTGGGTGGATCAAAAAGAAAACACCAGGGTGGATTTGATGTAAATCAAATTGACATCAATTTTTAAAAATTAGTTTTTTTTATGATTTAAATTTGAAAAAATCAGAGTTTTTTTTTTACTTAAATCGTAATTTAAAGATTTTTTTTGAAAAATCATAGATTTTTATCCACCTTGATAAACACAAGACAGTCACTTTTGGGGGGGTACATAAATTCACCTCTTTGGATTTTTTTGCACTTAGACTAAGTTCTAAGCATTGGGACTAAATTTTGAGTATTCACCATAACATGTATCTAAATGTATTACTACGTCCTATACCATTATGCTCTTAATTTTTTTTTTAAATTGTTATTGTGACCAATGCTCCAAAATCTTAATGCAGTAGGTCACAAAGTGAGTCTGTTTCTTCCCTTGGGATAATGGTAGTATTGTCAAAATGGAGTATAGCCAAATTAGAAAAAGATAGTTGCACCAAAATACAAAATACAGAATACAATCCTGCTTATCCACAACTCCTCACGATTTCATAATCCAATTTTGCACCCCAGTACTTGGACTTAATTAACAGATTACCTAGCCTGTTTTTCATCATGCTAAGTGTCCTTTTACTTCATCAGCTGAGAAATAATGCAGTAGGAATGCCAAGATCTCCTGCCGTAAGTTGCCCTATATTAGAAATGCCACATGAGGTTGTTTCCTGTGCATGATAATTAACATTCAGGCAGCCAGAGTTTCTGCAGCATTTCGTTTTTGAAGAATTAACAAGCCATGCAGCACAGAAGGTGTAACAAAGTTCTTGTCCGAGAACAGGTGGGCATTTTGGATACAGTCCAATATCCCTGTTCAGCTTCTAAATGAATTATACAATACAGTATGTATGCCTTTGCTTTTATATTTGTTTTCAGATTTTAAAAATGAATGAATTGTACATATTGAACTGACGCAGGAAGGAAAGACATAATTTGGGGGAGGAAGAAAGTGTTTAGTGCCCATACATGACCATATACATGGAAGCATATTGCTAGCATCTTCTCTCTTTCTCTCTTTAGATGGATCACATTGTTTTAGAACACCTTCCGCGGGCCACGTGTTTGGAAGTGGATCAGTCTCAGAAAGCCCTGAGGGCAAACATTTGTTCCTCCTCCAGTCTTTATCAGAAGTGGCAGTTTGGAAATTATTACGCTGACTGAAGAGAAACATGAACTAACAAGACACAAGAGCTGCTTTGTACTCCGACAAATTCAAGCATGACAGCTGTGGAACTTTGGAGAGTGGCAGGGACAAAAACTGAGAGCATACTTCCAAACCACAGTGGAAGCCCATCAATTTAAAGGCAGCAGATGGGAAGATCAAAAGATGGAGCAAGAACAGAGCTGGTTTAGCGTGGCTTAATGCAAGCCAGGCGTGGTTCCTCAAGGGGTGCTTGCTTGGCTGGAATCTGGCCAGGGGAGGGAATTTACAGAGAAATTATTTGCAAAGTCCTTCTCTGCTAGATCTATGGTGGCTTACCTGCCAAAGAATAAATCAAAGAACAGAACCTCACCACTGTTATATTTATGCTCCTATTTGTAAGAAACTTTACAAAAGTTCACTAGCATTGTCCTTCTTTGCCTCTCTCTGCCCTCTCATCACAATCAAAACACCTGTCACCTGGGATCCTTGTAAATGTACATTTCTCAGATGTCTATCACAAAGTCTGTCACCTCGATACAGGAGTTGTCAAATTGGTTTGACTGTGGCGTCCAGGAGAACCCTCCAGCCTCTACCTTAGAATTGTGGCAAAAGACAACAGCTTCCAAACATTGTAAGACACTTTTACAGGAGCGAAAAAGGACTTCGCAAAGCCATTGAAATGTATTGAGTCGGCTTCAATACATTCCAATGAAGGAAACATTGTTTCACACAGCGATGTTTCCTATGGGGATTTTCACTCAGCGATGGCAATCCGTTCCAATTGGAACGGATTAACCGGTTTCCAATGCATTCCTATGGGAAATGGTGTTTCACAGAACGATGTTTCACACAACGTTGATTTTTTTGGAACCAATTAACATCGTTGTGTGAGGCACCACTGTATTTATGCTCCTATTTGTAAGAAACTTTACAAAAGTTCACTAGCATTGTCCTTCTTTGCCTCTCTCTGCCCTCTCATCACAATCAAAACACCTGTCACCTGGGATCCTTGTAAATGTACATTTCTCAGATGTCTATCACAAAGTCTGTCACCTCGATACAGGAGTTGTCAAATTGGTTTGACTGTGGCATCCAGGAGAACCCTCCAGCCTCTACCTTAGAATTGTGGCAAAAGACTGATGGTATGCTAGAAAACCAAAGGGTGGCCAATAATGTGCAAAGAAAGTAAGCAAGTCTCTTGCTGACATCTCAGAGGACAAGGGAGGTCAGCAGAGGCCAAGATATCCAGAAGGTAGGGTTCGGAAATACTGCCCTGCCTCTGGAATTAAAGTCATTCAGGTATCTGCCAGGCTTTTCTATATATGGGAAACAGAAGAAATTCCTGACAGAACTAGAAACTGGATTGTAGGGCTTCAAATATTGGATCTTATGTTTCAATCAATTTCAGTGTTTTATCTTGGTGATCATTACTAGCAGTGGATTCCACCCATTGTTGATCAAGGTTCCTATTGCCATAATGGAAATCTTACATGTGAGTGGAAGAATTCCATAGCAGCTTATATTTGGTGGGACTTCCCTTTTAACAAGTCTGACTGGTGAAGAGCCAGTTGTCTGAAATCTCTACCTGGACAGAATCGAGCACTATCATGCCTGTGCTGCTGCCTAGAACCACAAGAATGCAAGAAAGAGCACTTACACTTAGAATACTGCATTGCTACAAGTGTCTGGTCCCATCTGGTACATCAGCCATTGGGTTTCAGCCTTGATACTGTGGTTACAGTGGTGCCTCGCAAGACGATTGCCTCGCGGGACGAAAACCCCACAAGACGATTGGTTTTTGCGATTGCTATGGTGCCTCGCAAGATGACCATGCTTCGCAAGACAGTTTTTTTCGAGACCAATGCCTCGCAAGACGAATAAATTTCATCTTGTGAGGTTCCCATAGGGAACCTCACAAGACGATTTTTTCACAAGACAGCAATTCTCGCGGAACAAATTACATTCGTCTTGCGGGGCACCATTGTACTTGTTTATGCAGGTGGAAGGCAAATGGCATAACATTCACTCACTTCTAGCCAGCATATCAAGCAAAATCCAAAGAAACAAAACAAAACAAAATAAAACAAAGAAAAAACTGAAAGACTAACTATTGTACTTTAATGTGAGCTTTTGTGGACAAGTCCCCTTCAACAGACATATAGTAAAAATGAAATGCTAGATGGAGTTACTTCTAGCCAGAAACTAAAGAGTTGCTGCTGCAGTTCTTAAGGATGTACACACTTGCTGGCTTGGTGCATGCTTGAGAATCCCAGTGAGACTCAGTAATTGCTGGCTAGAGGCAAGTGAACGTTATGCTGTTTGCCATCTATGTAAAGTACATAAAAAAGCAAAAGGATTTTGACCATTGATTCCAACTGCAATGGGGTTGGGATGCTTACTCATGTAAAACCAAATGAAACAGCTCCCTGGTATGGGTTTTATTTTAAAGAATGTGTGTCAGGGACTCCTCCCTACCTCTGATTTTAGACCGTGTGATGTCATTTTCCCAGGAACTTGTCTATATTTTGCATTTCAAAAGTAATAATAACTTGTGCTCCTTAAAGCACGTTTCTTAGGGCAAAAATAACTTTGAAAACCTCCAAAAGGAGATCTTTGAAATTTGTCTTGAATCTCTCCTTTCCTTGCCACAAAATAATTTAACTTCCTCTTGAGATCACCAGATGTGATTTCCTTGTTTCCTTTCACATGAAAATGTGCATCTCTTTTTTCCAGAGTTAAAAAAGAGTAAAAAGAGATGCTAAAGGTCAGGGAAGCTTTCACTTCTCCACCTACAATCTGAACTGTCATGGTGGAGTGATAGTACGTAAAGCTGTTGGTTGCAAAGTGTGTACTGTAGGGATTAGTTATGGGCACAAATTTAAAAAATGAATCGCCAAATTCATTCAAAAATCACTAATTTGTTGATTCATGTTAATACAAATCAATGTCACCGATTAATAGATTAGAGCCACCCAAATCACAAGCTTCCCCTGACTCTCCTCTACAATCCCTCCATGTTCGGGGAAAATTGGGTTTCTGCAAGCCAGCTGCTAGGGTAGTTTCTGGGTGGGGCCCACTTTGTTGGGTGTATACCTCAGACACCTGAAGTCCAATCTTCACCAAAGTTGCAGGACTTGTAGAGGAGAGTCAGGGGAAGCTTCCCTGTGATTTTGGTGTCTCTAGGTGCTTAGGGAGTGTTTCATAGGATTTTAAAGGCAAAATGAATCAGTGAATCAAAACAATTGTCATTTATCTGGTTCATGCCCATCTCTAGGTGGGATTTATACATGGATTTTTAAAAATATACATATTAAATCCATGTAATCTGGGAGGAGTGAAGAGAGGCCCTGGAGCATAGCATCCCTATGCTCAACCAGGGTATTTTTGTAGCCCCATACCACCTTTCTCCGTCTGTACACAGGTTGCCCACTCAGCAGAGAATGTTATGTATTAGGCTGTCGGCATGTATATGGAGTCTACATAAGTGCACATACCTTTTCTAATTTTCCACTGGATGTGTAAATGCCAGATGGGTACCAATGTCCTCCATATACACATTCATAGATTCAACATGTAGAGTCAGTATTTTATTGCTAGGCTCTACTAAAGTAGACCTGTTGAATCAACAGCTGAATGATGTCCACACTTATGTAAATTCTGTTGACTCAAACAATCTGATGTTCTTCAGACTAACAATAGAATGCTGACCGTAGAAGAAACCAAGTAAAGTCGTCTTCATTGATTTAGAGTGGCAGCCACTGTTCTTTTCTTCTTTTCCTTTTCTTTTTTTGGGGAGTGGGGATGTTGCAGAAGTAGGGAGGCCTTTATTAGGGGTTGTGTGGGGTTCTGAGTTTTAATTTTTAAACTGCCCAGAGTAGTGTTTCCACTATATAAATCAAATAAATAAATAAATACATTTTGTTGTCATTCTCAGACTCTTCCTTTCAAAGCAGCTGACAGCACACTGAGCAACTGCAGAGTTGATTTGTTGAAGGACCACGTCTGCTTTTTGTAGCCATAGGGTTAAATTTGTTATCAGCCCTACTTACAGCAGGTCCATTAAAATCATGGGACTTAACGTTACTTGTGACTAACAGGTCCCATTCATTTTTGTGGGACTACTCTAAATAGGCTTAACATAGGATTTTGGCCTATCATCTTCACTATACACAAATATAGCAGGATGACACAGAGGCAAACCAATTGAGGATTATCATCTTAGAGCAGTGAAGTGAATGTGTCTCTCAAAATACTAGTTTAGATGACAGCCAAGCTTCCATTATCTGTAATGTTTACAGCCTATTCCGCGTCTGTTTTATGTCCAGGAGGGCCTCTGTATAATGTTGCCATTATATAATGTATCAACACTGATAATGTGTGACTTTCCAAACCTGCCAAAATATTGATTTGCCTCAGTCAGTTTTATTTCTGTATTTCCAATTCTCGTCCTCTCCACCTTTGCCATTCTTCTACAGAGCTTCCCTGCAGTCACCATCGGAATAATTACACACAGTTTGTCTGAAAACTCCAGTTTTATCAAGAGCATGAATTTCATTACATCCTGTGTTCTGATGTGTCATCATTTGTCATTTGGTAGGCACAGTGCAGCCCATACATCACAGTCACATTGCATTCACCATCATACCAGTTGCACTTTCCTGCATTTGTGCAAAGGTGCACACTTCACTTTTGGCTCTGCTTGTTCTTTCAGAAGCATCTTGTGGACTCTGGCGTAACAAATATTTGCAGCACTGGGAAGCAGGGATTATCCCAATGAAACTATTTGTGCAGAAATGAAAAGCATTTGGCTAAGTATTTTGAAAAGTTCCTAAGTACATTTTGAACAAGATGTCTTATGAAAGCTGAGACCTCTCTCATTCCTGGTACTCCCAAGCAGATAAGCTGAATACAATTTCCAGTCTCAGTTGCTTTGACAAATGGGAGTGAGCCCATCATTTAAACTGAACTTGTTTCCTTGGCTTTGGAAACTTTACACACGGTATACATTGCCATGTGCTGGCTAGATATCACAGTGAAGCCAGAGGTTTGGAGTTCAGTTCCCCAGACTGTGCATCCTAGAAGAGCCAGTCTGTATAGTCTTGGGCAAGCTGCATAGTTCCAGGATGCCTCTAGAAGAGAATGATAAACCACTTCTGGTACTCTTTGTCATGATACTGGCTACCACAGAAAGGATCCATTAACCACTCAGATGCATTATCTTTGTTGGTCCTGATGTGGGTACTTGCCAGGAAGGCCCAGTGCGCTAGTGATTGGGAAAAGCTTCCTGTGTGACCCCTTTCCCAACTACTGAGTCTGCCTGCTCCTTTAGTGCTCTAGGGAGAGACAAAAACTTCCAGCCTTCTGCTTGTAGCTGCAAACCAACCCTGCAAAGCAGGAATACCAAAAACCCACAAAGTACTCCTAACTTCCAAGTGCAAGGCATCTTCTTCAGTACCACCAACCACTTGGTCTGCCTGAATGATTACACAGCTGTAAAACTGTATTATTTTTATTGAAGGTAATTCAAAAATGCATACATGTCCAAAAGTAGATTTAAAGCTTCCAAAAGAATCAAAATGACGTGAAGCAGTTCCATCAT